CCACGTGCGAGTCATTAACTCTCAACAGATACTTGGGAGCGCTGGCTAGCAGGCATCTCCCCTTTGGAAATGGCTCTGGCTTGGTTCGCTTTGCCCTGGAAGGCAGGTTGGTCTGGCGGGCGGCACACATGCACAGCCAGGCCCAGTTGGGTCCGTTGTGAGCTTTCAGCTACAGAGGCTACTCCCCTCCCTTGTTCCTTTCGTCGACAAGACTAGATTCTGGAGCCGGCTTAACTTGTTTTGGCAAGACTCCTGGTTAACCCTGTCCTGTAAAAACCCTCTCTTCTGGCGGGGCTGCTGGGCCTTCCTGTCAGCAGACTGTCTGCGAGCGGAGGCAAGTCCATCGCTTCCAAAACAGCCCCACCAACTTCCGCCCATTTTTCAGATCCATTCAGTGTTTCCATCCCTGGGCATCAGGGTGCCCATAGCAACGACCCAGTCCCGGCCAACAGGATACAGCTGAAGGAAGCGCTCTGGCCACCGGCTTTCTCCTGGACCCCCCTGTGCGTGCAGGCAGCTCCTGCCTAGCAGGGGCCCTGGCGGGCCATGTCCCCAGCAGTATCTCTGTCAGATCAGGGCTGTTGTATTCTGGACCTTGGAGGCTTGTTTGTTTGTTTGTTTGTTTTCGTTGTCTTTTGGATGAAAGTTGACAGAAGTAGTGCAGTGCAGGTTTTAGTCTGCTAACACTGTTCTGTTGCAAATCCCTCAATATATCTCTACTCTTCCTACCTCCTCTTAGGGGTCCATGTTTCCATCCCCCAGTCTTCTTCCTACCCTTTCCTGTTTTCTGAGCTTGGTTCTGGGGTCAGCGTTGCCCGTTGGGTCCCGGTGGCTGATTGTTCCTCGCCAGGGCCTTGTGACACTGGCTGCCCCTGCTGCAGAGAGTGGCGGGAGATTGGGAAGGCGAGTGTGCCTTCTGGCCTCCCTGCCCAGAGGCACGGTGACTTAGGGAGCATCAGAATGTGGTGCTCCACAGAAAGGCCTCCACCTGTGGTGTACTTGTCCCTGGCTCCGCCTCAGGCTCCCAAAACAGGAAGACAGTGTGACACTGAGGCTGGTGTGGGGCTGTGTGCAGTTGACCACTGCAGCTCGGTGTGTGTGCGTGCACGCATGCACATTCTCTCCCCACCCCACTCTTTGGGGAAGCGCACTGTTGGCTAAACAAACCTCTGTCCTCTCACTGGGGCCGCCGTCCAGCACAGAGAGCCACGCTGCTGCTGCTTCCTTCCTCTGCTCTGGCCACCGCTTCCTCGGAGGCTGGACTCTAGGGAACCACATGCCAGGTTCTGCCGCTGCTGGGCACAGGCCTCTGCCCGCACACCAGCCTTCAGCCACGTGCCCCTGCCTAGGAAGGACTAGGGACTGTGGGAGAGGGTGGGCCTGGCGTTGAGGAGATGGACCTTTCCGCTCCAGTAATGAAACCACTGTGGGGTGGTGGGGACGGGAGCTTTCAGGGGGCAGAGGCTTGCACACACTCCCCTGTTCTCACCTTATCCTTAAAAATGGTTCCCACAGTGGCCTGACAGCAGCCTGGCACTTGCCCAGTGACACTGGCCTCCACTTCTTTCCGATCCCTTGATTGTTCCACGTTACGTTCCTCTGAGAATGCCCTCTTGTCTTTGATGCGTGGCCAGCACTGTGCTTGGCGACCGTGGCTACAAAGGTGAAGCCGGAAATGTGAGTCACACACCAAGGGCAAGTGCGGCGCGGTGCCCCACCAGCGAGTGGGGGCAAAGGCACGCTCCTTCTGAGAGCCCCGACTGCACTGGAGCCGCTTGTCAGGCACGAGGCAACGAGAGGGATCGCTTTCAGCAACCATGTGTCGAGCTCCAGTGTTGGACACAATGGGCTGTGGCTGTCCTTTGTTAAGTGTAAGGAGTCCTGGGACCCCTAAGGGGGGGCGTTCTAAACCCTGGACTTACACAGACGGGTCAGTGACCCCAACGGTGTGCCTGTGCTCTGCAGTCACCACTGTTTCCAGAGAGTTCCGTCATCCTGAACAGGAGTGAGCGCCTCCCGGCAGCGACACCCTCTTCATTGGGCTCGAACTAGAGGGGGAGGAGACCTTCCCGGTCTTGTTTCCCAGGAGTGTGTTCCTTCCCCAGGGGCTGAGACATCTCGTTCCTGAGTTGGGGAACCCCTCAGCCAGTGCTGTGACGTGGAGGGGCAGCTGTCTGGTGATCCGGGCCCCTCATCTCCAGGCCGAGTTCCTTGGTAGATGGAGCAGGTCTGGACAGGCCACCCGTGCGTTAGGAAACAGCTGGGGGGAGGGGGAGGGGCAGCAGGGCACAGTGGTCTCTTGTCTGTCGTTGGGGTCCTCCTCACAGCCCTCGTCCCTGCTTCCTTCTTGACATGAGACTCACTCCTTGGAGCAGCAGGTTTTATCAAACCAGTTTCTGGAGCGTCCAGTGGCTGCCCAACAATGTGACCCCTGAGCTCTGCCACTTTAAGCACTCCGTCCCACGTCTGGCTCACACCGTCCATCTTCCAGGATAGCCTCATGAGTGCTTAGCTGGTTCCACACAGTTCCCTGGCCCAGAGGCTGGGCAGGGGGTGATGTCTGCAGGGCTTCGTTTGGGGAGTTGCTCCTCTGCCTGCGGCCCTCCCTTTCCCTGCTTGGCTGGAGGCTCCAGGAGGTTGTAAGGGAGTAATAATATCACTCGGCGTGATTGGAGGCGTTCACAGGGTGACACTGGACTGGCTCGGTGGCCACTGAGGACCAGTGGTTCCAAAGCACATTGTTGGGGGTACTGAGGTACCTACACCCCTCCCCTTTCTTCCTGCCCTGTCTCCCTGGTTTCTCGGAAGCCCTGGGTGCAGCTCCGTCTGAGGAGCAGGGCGTCTGCCAAACTTAAGAACCCAGCAGCAACCCTGTGTCATTTCTTACAGGACAGCTGTCTGTCCAGACCCCCACCCAGCGCCAACAGCCCCTGTGTCCTGAACATAGTAGGCGCCCCGCCCAGCTTGCTCCTCTCAGCAGTCAGGGGTTCTGCTGTGAGAAGGCGGGGCCACCGGGAGGCGCTGATCTCTGTTCCTGGTTTAGAGCCTTCCAAACCCCACTGGAACCTGGGGCTCAGACGGGAGATTCCAGCCTCTCCCAGGGAGCCTTGGTGCAGTAAATCTTCACTGGGCTCTTCCGAGGCTGCTGGACCGCTGCCTCCGTCTATGTTCACTTGCTTATAGGTAGGGTGTGTAAGATTCTCCTACAGTACAAGACTCTTAGAAGGCTCGGCCCCTGTTCCACTGGTCAGCACGTGGCTCAGAGGCCCTGAAATTGGGCGAGGGGAAGCGGGCAGGGAGGCTGGTGAGGAGCTGGACTGCACCGAGGAAGCTGGGGGTAGCTTGTGTCCGGGCTGCTGGTCAGGGTGAAGGAGGAGTCCACAGCTCCGAGGGGCTGAGTGCACCCTGGACATGCCACCTTTTTACCCATTGTGCTACGAGAGTAGACAGGCCAAGACCAAGGCCAGACGAGGTAACCACCTGAAACCGTGTGGAGAGATTAGTTTGGGAACGAGGAACCAAAGGCTAGCAGAAGGGAAAGGAGACTTCCTGCCTGTAGCTGCGTCCCAGCCAGACACCGGGATTGATCGTCCGGCGCGGCGGGGTTGTTAGTCTGTGATTTTGCCCAGTCGTCTTTCTTCCAGAGACGTGGCTAACCGCCCCAGATAAGTCAGGCAGGAATTCACGCCATCCCCATCACTGCACACCCCACCCACCAGCACGAAGCCGCAGGGCAGCACCCTGCCAAGGACCTGGAAGTGAACATGCCCGTTAAAGTCACGCTGCACATTTGGTGATTAATCCCTGTGACTCTGGGTACTCAAAGACAAGCCGCTGCCACTGAGCCAGCCCCCCACGTCCAGCCCAGAGGGCCGGGCTGCACGGCTCCTTCACCGCACCAGGCAGCCTCTTTTCCCCAGGGACCAGCGGGTGGCTCTGAACAACCACCCTCACGGTAGCAAGGTGACCGTTACCACTCCACTGTGCCACCGGGGCTGCTCTGGGACTCCTGAGAGACCCGCAGAATGCCAGCAGCGGGACGGTGGCTGTGGCTGCAGTCCAGGACAAGGGTGGGCGTGGTCCAGTGCAGTGCGTGTCAGACCCTGCTGTCCCCTTGCCGCCATTGCAGGCCAGCGCTCAGCAAACTGTCCCCTAGAGGGAGCACTTGAGGAGACGGTGGGCCCGAATCTTGTGACTGGCATGCTCTTCAGCATCGATCTCAGAATCTCGACCACAAAGCCGCAGCTGTGGGTCCCCTGCTCGGGGGAGGCAGCTAGCTCATGATCCACCCTGAGACTGAGTCTGCGTGGCCTGCTGGTCCTCCAGGCAGGAGGGGCTTCTCTGTGGCTGGTGAGGCGCTGTTGTCCTTGCTGGCGGACACTCGGTGATGTGTGCAGGGGGCCTTGCTCCAGGCCGTGTCCCCACCACTCTGGCGGTTGGTCAGGCATCTGGGGACCTTGTTGCAGCAGCCCCCACTCCCTCATAGCCACTCCCCTCACCTGTGCCTTTCAGTGATCAGCCTGTTGGCCACTGGGAGGCCCGAAGTGGGGGGATTCAGGTGTTTTCTGTTTTACATTTGGGGCGACAGAGCCAGCCTGAGGGCCGGGCTGCCCTGGTGTCATCTGGTCACACATCCAAGGCCTGATCTGGCCTCCCGTGGGCCGGCCCCGCGTGGAACCACAGCACGTGCCTGTTGGGCCGGACGAGGAGGGGAGAGCCACCCGGGAGCAGCTCTTCTTTGTGCTGGGTGACATTGTGGTCAGACGTGATCCAGTGGCTGCCCCCGTCCCTTGGGGCTGACGGTCGGGGCAGGCTGGGCCTGTCCCTGTGTTCTTGGGCAGCAGGGCCTTGCTGGCCAAGGCCCTCCTGGGCGTTGTGGCTCTATCCCTACCTGGCACCTCAGCTGCTCTGGTGCCCGAGAAGGGGACAGAGGCCCGGGGATGCTGGTGTAGCCATGGCTTGGCATGGGCTCACCACCTGCTGTTTTGTTTCTCTCGTAGGATATCGCTGAGGTAGAAAAGCGAGACCCCCAGGAGTTAGTAGGTAAGTCCCCAGGGGACCCTGAGGGACGTGGGTCTGTCCCCCACACTGGCTTCCTTCCTGTAGGGCTGCATCCCGGGCTTCTCCATGCCTGGGCTGCTGGGCTGAGCAGGCATCTCTGAGGGTGCCCTCCCTCTCGGGGCTCTTGGCAGCCTCTAAGGCGCCTGGGTAAGATGGCCAGGGAACAATTCTCCCTTTGACATCGGCGTCGCCGGGCCTTTCTTTGGGCTCTGGTCAGCCGCCCGTGTTACCAAGAGGGAGTTGAGGGCCCCTCTTCAGCTGAGAGTCACTCCTCTTGTGCCTTGGGCCCAGTCCTCTGCCCTGGCACCGCCTCCACTGGCACGGCCTGTGCTCCCCAGGCGGGCACATGCCCCATGCTCCCAGGGTCTGAGACTTCCGCTGACTTGGAAGGAGCAGGAGGTTGTGTTTCTGGAAAACAGCAGTATTGTCATCCAAGCCCTGAGTTAGCCCCGCCTTCCTAATGCTCTTAGAAAGCCCCTCAGCCCCTTTGCCAAATGGGCTACCCCAGCACAGACCCCGGGATTGTTCCCTCCCCTGGGGTGCCCAGGACCGCCCCTCCCGGCCTGTCCCGGGCTCTGCACGCAGCAGGCCTCCTGCCCTCTGTGGACAGCAGCCACAGAAGTCCTTGCTGAGCTTCCTGGGCCAGCCAGTGACTCATGCAGCCGGCCCCGAGGCACAAAGTCCAGGCCTGACCTGAGAGTGCACCTCCCTCCAGCCACAGCCGCTCCTTTCCCACCTTCCCCGAATCCAGGAGCAGGAGACTCTCCGGTAGACCTGGCTGGGGAGGGACTGGTGGGACTGAGTCCTGGGGGTAGCCCAGGCCCATGGTGGAGCCGGCCTTCAGCACTGGGTTTCGTGGATGCCCCTCCACCTTTCAGGTCACCCAGGAATCCTGCTCTCAAGAAAAGGGCGCATGTTCTCAGGGTGAAGAACCTGAGATCAGATGCTTAATTAGGAAAGTGCTGTTCACTCAGTAAACCCGAAACACAGGGTAATGCTGGCCAGTATGTTGCCTTTCTGACGTTTCCTTGGGAATCTGCACGTGCCTCCCCTTTCCCCCTCCCCTGTTAAGACCATTTCAGTGTGTATTAAACAACTACAGAACACTAAATTAAAAAGTTTGGCCAAAAAATCAAAAGAAAAGGGCACATAGGTGCCACGGTTGGCTTCATGGGCCAGGGAGGCAGAGCCCTCAAAGGGGACCAGTGGCCTCACCCAGTGCCTGAGTCTCAGGCCATGTGTCAACTGGGGCCTCAGCCTCTGCCCCTGTGCCCTGCTGTTCACCACCAAGACACCCACCCGGCACAGCAGGCTTTTCTGTCACCTTGAGGTGTCCCTTGGAAGCCCCTCCCCAAATGGGGCAAGTCCTGCTCTCTTTTTCTATGACAGTTTCAGTTGTTTTTAGAATTTCCTAAAGCTTGGACCTTCTCCCCCAACCCCTGGTGACATTTTGGGCCAGTGCCTGATGTTTTGTGCATGGTAAGAGCCTCACAACAGCCCTGGCCCCCACCTTCAAGGGCCATGATGGACAGAGGCCCCAGCGGAAGACCCCCTATGGCTGAGCAACTGCCCATCATGGGGTACACCCCTGTTGTCTTATTTCCACTTACCCACTCCAGGCGTCAGGGCAGGGGGGGTCGGGGGCCCTGTAAGTTGAGTCCCTCCAACACTTGCTGGCTCACTGGGGAGGTGACACGTTTAAATGCCAGTGAAGATGAGCCAGGGACACTGCTGACTCCCACAAGAAGGCTGGCACCCCCAGACATTATCACAAAAGCCCACCTGGCCGGCAACACCTGGCTGCACTGGCACCTGCAGCCGTGGGCACCATGGTGTTTTCTGGCTGGGTGTGCCCAACGGCGTGGTCAACGGGCTTCTCAGGTCCAAAGCGCACTGCTCTTCTAGAGCAGATGAGCAGTGGCCCGGACACTGTCACCACTTCCAAGGGTCTGGGGACACAAGTCCCGGGCCGATGCTGAGGCTTGGTGACTGCCCGTGGGGCATGAGGTGTGGTCTGGGCCTCAGGAAGGGCAAACTGCACCCATAGGTGGCTGGCTCCTGAATTCCCCAGGGGAGGCGGGCAGATGGTCCTCTGGTTTCCCAAACGCCTCCCTCCTCTGTTCACCCGTCCCTCCTTGTTGTATCCCCAGAGCTCGGGCCACGGCCTGGAGGTCACATTGAGCCATTTGAGCCCCAGAATGTGATCAACTTGCTATGGCAGCAGGGCCACACCCTGTTTTTCCAAAAGACTTTCCTGGCAAATGCCAAAGGCCACACTTTGTCCCTCCAACACAGGCCCGCTCACAGGCGCTCAGCCAAGTACTCCCCTGCCCGCCCCCACTGCCCTGGGGGGGTGCCCAGAGCTTTTGTTGCTGATGCTCTTGGAACCGAGGGCCCACCCAGCCAGCAGCCTCTGCACCCAGCCTCCAAGGCCAGGCTGCGAGGAGTAGGCAGGTGGACTTGAACTCTGGCCAACCCTGGAGGCCCAGGAAGCACACAGGCGCCCTGGATGTTTCCTCACTGCACTGGTGTGTCCTCCCGACAAGCCCTTTGGGCTCCGTGCTGCCTGCTCGGTGCCTGCTCTTGCGGCATGTCCAGCAAGAGTCTGGGATGACCAGGAGAGCCCCCAGGTCCCTGGGCTCCTGTCCCTGTGTCTCTACGGGGTGCAGGCAGAGTCTGCTGGGCCTCAGCCCAGCCCTCCGGGCAGGCGTGGTGTGCACTGCAGATCAAAGCGCCTTCTCTGCCCAAGACACCGGGCCGCGAGAGGAGGAGGGGCAGGCTGTGCTGGGCCAGCACACAGTAGGTGCCCCAGCTTTCCCTCGTCCGCCACCCCCTTCTGCCCGCTGTTTGCACTTTGTGTGACTCTGCTCCTGAGAAAGGTCTAGGGAGCATGCACCGCCTCACAACAAACAGCACATTGTCCAGGGATGCCTGCCGAGCCCCACTCGTAGCCCCCCTGCACCCGGGTGGCCAGCAGCTCCGGGAAGGGGCGGGGCTGGGGAGTGGCTTGGGTGGGTGGTGGCAAACACCAGAAACTGGCCTTTTGTTCCTAAGAATGCAATAGACCAGCTGATTGCGTCTTTTTTTTTGGGGGGGGGGGTGTTTGACAAGCCCTAAATTAGTTTTTTAATGTCATATATGCGCAAGACACAGCTCCAGAACCTTGTGGGGCGGGGGGCTGGGCAGGTCTCCCTGGGATGAGAAGGATGGATGGCTCCAAGCCGCTCTGAGATTTCGAGTCCTGGGAGGGTGGGGGGGCGGCTTTTGTGCAGATGCCTGGGATGGGGTGGAGCTGGCAGGCCTGCCTGCTCTGAGGGAAACGACTGCACGTTGGTGGCCTGAAGTGGAGCTGAGGGAGCAGTTACACTGTGGGGACTGGCTGGTGTTGCAGACAGAGCTCCCTCCGCTTCCAAGATGGTTGCTACACTGTAGCAGCACGTGGTTGCCCTAGCTCTCAAGTGGCTTGGTGGCACACAGTCTCTGCCGAAGCTGCTCTCCCCCACCCAGGCGCCTGCTGGTCCCTCCTGCCCATTTGATGTTGACTCAGTGACAGCCTCTCAGAGAAGCCCTGACCCAAACCTAACCATGGGGTTAGCCAGGTCCCCGCCCTCGTCTACAGGCTGCTCTCCCTTCTCTCCACAGCCTCGTTTTCTGAAAGAGTCCGGAACATGTCACCTGATGAAATCAAGATCCCTCCAGAGCCCCCTGGCAGGTGTTCAAACCACTTACAGGTAGGTCCAGGGCCCAGCAGCCACAGCCAGGTCTGACTTCCCCAGCAGGACAGGGAACGGGACCCCGGCTCCTGCAGACGAGACAGCCCAGGGGGGGTGGCCCTGCGTCCTGGCCGCCCCCCAAGTCCTGACCTCAGGAGACCTCAGTCCTCACAGAGACCCCTGGGCTGAAGAAAACGACTGTCCACTTTTCCTGGGCAGCCCAGCCAGGTCGATGGGAACCTCACAGAGCTGACGAGCTCCCTGGAGGTGCAGGAACAGATTGGGTGCATGGAGCACCCTTGTGCTCCTTCTGCAGGGCCAGGGCCTCGCTTCTTGCCTGACAGGCCGCCTCCACATGCACCCGGGGCTGGGAGTCCCAAGAGAGCACATTGACTGATTCTTCCCTGGCAGAGGGTGGGGTACAGCTGGGATCACCCCCTTCTTTCCAGACTCGGGTCGTGGCTCCAGGTCTCGCTGGAGGGACCTCTCCCTGTCAGGGACCTTGTGACTAACAACAGAGCCATGGTAGGGGCCCAGTCTAATCCCCTGTACTTCCTGGGTGCCCCTGGCACCGCCCTGCGGATGGTGACTCACCGGCCTGGGGCTGAGGAATGCAGCAGGCTGGGCCCAGGTCAGGGCCCGGGAGGGGGCCGAGGCGCAGCCTGGGCTCCCTTCCTTCCCCAGAGGGCTCCTCCCTGTGCTGAGTCGGCAGCCCCCTGACACCCCTTGGGGTGGCATCACTCAACCCCCCCTCCCCCCATGCCAGGCAACATGCTGCAGCGTGTAAGGAGCAGCCCAGCAGTCTGCCAAGCCAAGAACATTCCTCCTGCTCTTTAGACCCTCCCCAGTTGGGAGACAATGCTGAGCAGTCATTTTCCTCCTTGGCCACCTGGGAGACGCTGGCCAGTCAGCACACCTGGCTCGCCTCAGGTGGCCCAGACTCCTGTCCTCTTAAGACAGGGAGTAGGGCTGCTCTTGTCCCTGGGGAGCGTGTTTTGAACCTCCCTGGGGCCCGGGGTTTGACGCAGCGGCTCCTGGTGTTTCTGGAAGCCGAGGTGGGAGTGCCAGCCCCGCCTGCCGCCTCTTACCAGGCCTTTCCTTCTGGAGAATCCGTGTTAGTAGCTGCCACTGGGGTGGTGCCCACCACCCAGGGTCTTCCTCTCAGGGAACTCTGCCCTGGCTGTCATAGGCCTGAGGCTTCCAGAGCCTTTGGGATGGCCCTCGGCAGCTCGGGTGCATCTGCCAAGGACACCATCTCCAAGAGCCTCGGGCGCCTGTGGCACCAGGGCAGTACACATCCCTGGCACCCTGCCAAGTGGCTCCCTGTTGCCTATCCCCAGGGCCTGGCAGGGTTGTGGGGGAGAAGGGGAGGGGTAAGGGCCTCCCTGCCGTGCAGGACCCTGTGAACACAGCTGGCAATACTCTGTGCGCCCGCTCCTCCAAGATGCAGCCCCCACCCGCACCATGATCCCAAGAGGACCTTGACGGCTCCTCCTGCTGCATGCCTGTGCCCGCCTGCACGCAGCCTGTCTGTCTGTCTGCTCTGTGCTTGCCGCCTGGCTTTCCGTGTGTGGTAAATGAAAGTCCCTGGCCCCTTCGCCGTCCTTCCACACGTGCAATTTGTGGTCTGCGTCCCTCACAGTGCTGGCCAGTCAGTGCAGAGTCAGGAGAAGCCAGCGGCGGCGGCGGACCCTCGCCTGGCTGGCCTCCGCAGCTTAGACTGGAGACCGGTGCGGCAGCTGCAGCCCCACTTCCACAGCATGTGGGGGTAGACGGGGGCTCCGTGGTAAGCACCGTGTGCTGGTCTTCTCAGGACAAGATCCAGAAGCTATATGAGCGGAAGGTCAAGGAGGGTATGGACATGAACTACGTCATCCAGAGGAAGAAGGAGTTTCGGAACCCCAGGTGCCTTTCCCAGGAACCCACAGGGCTATTTGCATCTTTGATGTTGGACCGGGGACTAGGGTGCCCCCAAGGGGTTGATGAGAGAGGCCCAGCTAAGATCCAACCTGAGGCCAAAAGGGCTATTCCCCAGCCATTGAGCCAGGGACCTCCCTTGCCCTCGGGAAGTATGCGAAGGGTGGTTCTGGGGACGTGGTGGGTGTGGGGCCCCGCGGGGCGAGGGCCTGGTGCCTGCTCACAGCCTTCCTGTGCTCACTTCCAGCATCTACGAGAAGCTGATCCAGTTTTGTGCAATCGATGAACTCGGCACCAACTACCCAAAGGTGTGTCCTGTGTGACCCAGGGTCCCCAGAAGGGTTCGTGAAGCAGCCTGCTGGCTGGGGAGTCCACACCCCACCTCTGCCTGAGGCCTTGTTCTTCTGGAACAATCCAGTGGTTCCAGCAACAGCTGGTTCCATGCCCTGATACATAGGGGTCTGCCTGTGGCCCTGGGCTTGGCTCTCCGGGCAGTCTGAGACAAACCCTTGGGTGGGAACCTCAAGGGGAAGGCACTCTGGGTGGATGCTCGGACCCCGGCTTTCAACCTTCTTTTTTCCAGGACATGTTTGACCCCCACGGCTGGTCTGAGGACTCCTACTATGAGGCACTAGGTAACCACCTCCCCCCCACCCCTGTCCGGCACAGGCCACACCCTCTTGATAGTGGCAGTGAGGGGGGTGTCAAATGCAGGGTGAGGGCCCCAGCTGAAGCTGGTGTCTGGAGCTAGGCAGCTGAGCGGTGCAGGGAGGACAGTCACAGGGCCCTGGGGTCACAGGTGTTCTCCAGCCAGCCGCCGATTGGCCTGAGGAGGGGCTGTGTCTGTTTGCATTTGAGCCCCTCGCCAGCACTTGCCATAAGAACCCGTAATTCCAGCTTGTCCGGGTGAGTGGGAGACCCGGCTGTATGGGAGCACACAGACCAGAGCCCACCCTGAACCCAGTCGAGTTTGGGTGGTCCGAGGACCCGTCCTGAGGGGGAGCTGCTCTGATCGCAGCTTGTCTTGTCCTCGTAGCCAAAGCCCAGAAGGTGGAAATGGACAAACTGGAAAAGGCCAAGAAGGAGCGAACAAAAGTGAGTGCTGGTGGGCAGACACCTGGTCGGACAGGCCAGGCTTCCTGTTGGCCAAGCCCAGGGGGTTCCAGAAGGCCCCTGGCCCTGCCCCCAAGGCGATGCCTGTGGACTCGGGGGCCAGCTGCTGCCCTGCCGCCTCCTGCCTCGGCCAACAGATGCCTCCCTGGGGCTTCCGTGCGGCCTCTTGGGCCCTGGTTTGCTGCGTTGCCACCCACCTCCCTTCCCTCTGTCCTTTCTCCACTGCTGTGTCATCCTCGGGGCTGCCCTGGTCTGTATGCCCATGGCGCCCAGAGCTGCCCCAGTCCTCTCTGTACCCTGCCTCTGCGCGTCAGGCACCCCTCGCTGTAGTCAAAGCACCGCTTCTCCCCAAGCAAGGAGGTCTGGTCCTTCAGGGGCTATGGACGCCGCTGTGAGGGCAGGGGTCACCCTCTGGGCACCAGGACCACCGGTCCACAGAGCAAGAATGCCAGGCCCTCGGGCTACCAGCTCCCCCCGCCCCCTCTCTTTGGCCCGTGGCCTCCTCCGAGCAGCTGTGGGGGAGCTGGTGCTGGGGGTGACCTGGTCCCTCATTCTGAATCCTTGATTGAATCTCCCTTCTCTCTCTCCCCTCCCCCTTCCACACCCCAGGCTTATTGCAGGGACGTGTCTGCAGCGCCTGGGGACCGGAGCTGTCCTTCCCCTGTGCGGGCGGGCACCGCCTCCTCCTGGGTGTGAGAAGGAGGGGCCTGGCCCAACGGTGCTGGGCATGTGAGGGGGGTGGGGGGTGGGACGGGAGCCGGGCGTGTGCAGGTGAGGCCGGGAGGGGCCGAGCTGTCCCGGAAGCTTTTTGAGTTAGCGCAGAGCCCCTCCGGGCCCTTCTGAGACACCTCTCCCTCCCCCAAGACGGTCACCGCAGAGGAGATGAATACCTCCTTTGTCTTTGTCTCGGCCTCCCCGGCCGGGCCTCACTCTGGCCCCTCCCCTTCCAGATTGAGTTTGTGACGGGCACCAAGAAGGGCACCACTACCAGCACCACGGCCACCACCACCAGCACTGCCAGCACGGCCGTCGCAGGTAACTGCGCCCCCCCAGGCTGCTGAGCGGGGCAGGGGTCTGGCCCCCCTTGGTCCTGACTGCTCCCCGGCTTTCTGTCCAGATGCCCAGAAGAGGAAGAGCAAATGGGACTCGGCCATCCCCGTGACGACGATCGCCCAGCCCACCATCCTGACCACCACCGCCACCCTGCCCGCCGTCGTCACAGTGACCACCAGCGCCAGCGGTTCCAAGACCACCGTCATCTCCGCGGTGGGCACCATCGTGAAGAAGGCCAAGCAGTGACCAGCGGAGAGACCCCTACTGGACTTATAAACTATTGCCACTGGGGGTGGAGGTGGAGGTGGCGGGACCCCACTGTGTGGCAGAGCTGGGGCCTGCGCGCCCCGGCCACCCCCCAGGAAGAGCCCAGGCAGGGCTGGCTGCCCAGCTGCCTAGAGACTGCACCTGTGCGGGCTTCTCCCAATTAAACATGCTGCCCTCTGAGTGCGCGCGCACTGCACTGTGTGGGTTGCAGCAGAAACGGGGAGACTGACCCCTGAGGCGCTGCTCATCAGTGAGGGTACCCCGAGAAGCTGCCCTGGCATTCCCAGGGCCCGGGTGGGCCACCCCGGGCAGTAGGGTAAAAGCCGTCTATGTACCACTCCAAACCCAGCTTGCTCCGGTCTCAAAATATACCGTGTTTGAGGTCAGCTGGTCTACAGAAAGATGGGGAGCCAGGTTGCCCAGCCCTCGGTGCCAGTGTGCGGCCAGCTGGCTCGGAGCAGTGGGGACATGAATCACCTCCGCTGGCCAGGCCGCAGCTCATTGTTTATGTGCAAACCCCTCTGGGAGCCCCTGCCACCCCACCCTTCCTCCCCGTTATCTCTGCCCCACAGCAGCCCATGCAGCCTGCTCAGCCGCCAGCTGCCAGCCGCCAACCGGGGCCAAAGCTGGCTTCCCTCCCAGCCGCCTGCAGAGTCCCCAGGGGGCTCGTTTATCTCCTTCCCATCCCATCGGAGGAAGGGCCACGTGTCCGAGGTGGAAGTGGGACTGTGAGGAGCAGGGGGATTCTCTGGGCAGGTCAGGCCTGAGGTTCCGAAAGTGAAGCTCAGTGACACGTGCCCCTCCTCCCCGCACAGGACACCCTAGGGTCCGGGTCTCAGCCCCAAGAGAATGTCGGCGTTCCCCCACCCTCAGCCTCAGCTGGGTCTTTGCTAGCCCTGGCCCAGGCACGTGGAGGTGCAGGGCAAGTGACAGTGTGGTGTCCGTCAGAGCCTCAGAGCAGTCCCAGCTCCACGCTCAAAGGGGTGTGGCCTTGGGCCTTCACGCACACGCACGTGTGCACCCACCCAGTCGTGGGGAGGCTGTGGGGGTGTGGGGTTCAGGAGCTCCTCTGTGACAGCTTTACAGACTAGTACTGTTCACAGGGGTCGCCATCGCCGGCCGGGCAGCCCAGCCCTTGGCATTTCCTACCACGGAGATGAGGGACGTGAGATGATCAATCTAGGGGAGCAGTTGACAGGGGCAGAGGTCCCCCCTCTCCCTGGGGTCTTTCCCTTCCTTTGGGCCCAGGCTGGGTTCCTGTGCTGGGTTCTAGATGCCTCCATGGGACCCGGGACCAGCCACCACACTGCTCCCTGCAGAGCTGGCAATAGGGCTGGGAGCAGACCGGAGCCTGAGTTGGGTCCTAATCCTCTGTCCCTCTGACCTTGACACTTCCCTAAAAAGGGCTTGAGAGCAGCCTGGTGGCACGTTGGGTTCAGCAGCGCCCCACTAACTGCAAGCCCGACCGTGTGGACCCATCCCCCGGCTGCTCGGCAGGAAAAAGACGAGACCGGCTGTGTCCCTCAAAGATGTACAACCGTGGGGGCCCAGCAGTGTCCTGTGCTTGTCACGCTCTCCGCGGGAATCCACTTCCCGGCAGGGGGGTTGGGAGTTTTCCATTGGGACTGATGGTTCACAGACGTCACGAGAAAAACGTTGGAGCACCCCCCCCCACCCCCGGGTTCCACTCCAACACGGGAGGGAGGGAGGGACTCAGTGGCCACAAGTGGACATTTTTATAAGGAGATTAAGTCTCCAGCCCAAAGAGTCTCGGTGCAGCCGAGCTACAAGGTCAGCTGTTGCTGTCCACGGGGCTGCTGGCCATCCCAAAGTCACGGCCATTGAGGACCCTTCGGGAGGACGTCCCACTCTGAAACTCGGGGTCCCCGTGAGTCAGACCAACCTGACGGCGGTGACCAAGGCTCACCGAGGATGGCTGAGACCATTGCTGTGCAGACAAGGTTTCCCGGGCATTCAGGATGCAGACTTATTCGTCCGCGTGGTACCGACCGCTCACAAGGTCTGTCCCAGTCAGACTTGAACCAGGCCCTTGGATTTCACACACATGCCCCACCCCTCCTCCAGAACTTGGGTAAGGACATCAGACCTGTCCAGCTTCTACCACGGCCCACCCAGCTAGCCCCTGCTCTCCTCCACAGCTGATGGGTCACCACCTCAGAAGTCATCCTGCTCACCCCTCTCGGCAGACTAAAGACCTGCCCCACCTGAAAGCCCCCAGGTGGCCCCGACTGCCTGCTCTTCACTCCCTGCCATCCAGTCGATGCTGACTCAGAGCGAGCACCCTGTGGTTCTGAGACAACTGTGTAAGGCGTGGAAACCCCCATCTCTCTCCCCTTGGAGCTGCCGTTGCTTTTGAACTGCCGACCCTGCGGATCCCAGCCCAACATGTCCCCAAGCCGCCGCCAGGGCTCTGTTGCTCTTGACTGCCAGCCCCCATGAGGAAGGCCTTCTCGGAAGAACCGATGCATTTGCTGGACGAGGTTGGCGGAGACTATCCAAAGTCCTACGGGAACAAGCAAGCCTGTCTCTGAGGACAGCCGTGTGCTCCGTAGAATCAAGGAGGCCAGCGAGAGACCCCAGGCCCTGGAGAAGGACACCGTGGTTGAGAAAGTAGAGAGTCGGTAAAAAAGAAGGCCTTCAGCGAGATGGGCTGCGGCATCGAGCTCAGAGCAACGTTGTGAGGGCACAGGGCCGTCGTCCATGGGGTCGCGGTGAGGGGCCGCCTCTAGCAGCCACACTAGCCTGGAGGTTGGCGTCCTTGAGCCCTGGTGATCTGGTTCTGTAGGTGGAGCCCGGAAGCCCCGTGGGGCAGTTCCATTCTGACAAGGGGTGGCTGTGAAGCAGTCACTGACAGCAGCAGGTCTCGCCCACTCCCAGCCCGGCTCCAGTCCTCGGCAGAGGAGCCTCCTCTGCCACATGCTCTCCCACTGCCCCCTGAATCAGCTCAGATCCCCCTAACCCCGCAGGGCTGGGAGCAGCTCGTGGCCATCCAGTCCTTGCCCTGTGGCCTGCCGGCCTCTGTCCGTGTAGCAGTGAGCTCAGCCCACTGGTGTTTCTGCTCTTGGGAACTGCGACAAAGGCTGGCACAAGCACTTCCTGCCCCTAGGTCCTGGCGTGTGCTGAGTGTCCAAGCCAGTGACTGGGGAGGCAGGATGGAGGCCGGCCCCTGCCCACCCCATCCCACAGGCTTATGTGGTCAGGTTCCAAACGGGCCGGTTCTAGGCTCGCTGCAGGACAGCACCAGGGTTGGTCTCGTAGATGTGTGAGATTTTCTGTGATATATTCTTTGTGTTTCAGGGCTGTTGAGCAACAGGAGAGAAGGCAGAGGTTCTCCCGGGGCGGATGGATTCAGAGCGATCCCCAGGCGAGATTCGGTGACAACCGGGTGGGGCAGCACACGGTGCACTCGTGCAGGGCCAGGAAGCACGGAAGTAAAGATCATAAAGAGAGGAGAGAGAAGGGTGAAGGAAGCACAGACCCATCCCTGATGTGAATTCTGAATGGAAATGAGGAAAATAAACCCATCTATTTCGGTGGTTGTTTTTTTCCCCCTCCATCTCAGTCGCACGGAGGCTTCCAGAGCAGATCGGTTTTCCAGTGGAACATTCCATGCATTTTGTTTATGTCACTCCCTGATTGAAATCCCCGAGAGGTGCCAGCACTGAGCCCCGCTTCCTCCCTCCTGCCCGTTGCCATTCCTCTTCCCGCTTCTCGCCTTCTCCCCAGCCGGCGCTGCCCTCTCCATCTCCAATGGCTGACGATCCTCAGGTGTGCCTGCCTTCCCTAGAGACGGGTCTGCTGCTCGCCCAGGGAGCCCTGGTAGTGCAGGGCTCCAGGTTGGACGGTTCTGGAGCTCAGCAGTTCAAGCTCACCAGCCTTCCAAGGAGGAGCAGCAAACTGCCCCACAGCCTCGGTCCCTGTGAGTCAGAAGCCAGCGGAAGGCAGTGCGTCTGGTGTTGGTGTTCCTTATCTGGCGAGAAGTCCAGCCCTGGGGCTGAGTTCGGTGCTAGGTTTGAAGGATGACTAAGGGCCGTAATCTCAGGATCAACTCGGGCTTTAAAAACAACAACCAAAAAAACACGAACAAAAACATCCCCTGTTGGTTCCCCGACACCCCAGTGGCAATGAGCACGTGAAGTTCCCAGGTAAGAGCCCCAATACCATTCCCCACTCCACCAGATTTGCGCTTTGGGAGAAGAGGGCTGATCCCGGACCAGAGGCACGGACAGTGTGGGCAGGACTGAGCCCTTGGTTCTAGGAGGCCGGGGAGTCTAGCAGGAATGTTTCTGGGGATCCTCAGCTGCCCCAACTTGGTTTCATGTGAACAGGAAGCACAGCATTGATCTTAAGCCAGCGAACACCTGAAAATCCATTCGTCCATAGGAATAGCTGAGAAAAAATAAAAGCAAACACTGCCATCGAGTCAGTGCTGACTCATGGTAACCTTATGGGACAGGGTAGGACTGCCCCCGTGGGTTACCAAGACTGCCACTCTTTACAGGAGTAGAGAGCCCTTTCTCCTAGCTTACCTGCTACACCAGGGTTCCTGTAATATTTGGGAGGAGAAAGGAGGCAATCTCTTCCCCATGATTGGAGTTGAACGTTGTATTCAGCTCTTACTCAGAAACGGGGAGGGAGGGGTCCCTGCATTCGGGGAAGAGCATCCTTTATCCCCAGCTGAGGAAGAAACCGCAGGGCCCTCAAGTCCGTTCCCGCTCACAGTGACCCTGGAGACACGGTAACACTGCCCCTGTGGGCTCCCAGGGTTGTAAGTCTTCACAGGAGTAGAAAGCCCCATCTTCCTCCTTCAGAGTGGCTGGTGGTCTCAAACCGTTGATCTTGTGGTTGGTTGCCCAGCATGTAACCCACCACACTGCCAGGGCCCCTTGGCCACCCTGGCAAATAAAAATTAATAGACAGAAACAAGTGCACAATAAATAGCGGCCTCTATAAATAAAGCCAGTGTGGCAAACCCTTCATCCTCATTGCGCTTGTGTGGATCACGGGTCCTTTCCAGGGAGACAGGAGCGAGGAAATTGATCATGTAGCCCCAAGTGTCTGTCTAACTTGTTTGTAAGGCCAGGGGCTTCTGGGCCAGTAAGTGGGACACATTATGAGGCATAAGAACGTCCACCCTGCTCAACGACCCTCGGTCTCAGCTTCCGTGTTTCCACATGGAAGCCCAGCTGCTCCCATAGTCCCTGAAGGAGTGGGCGGACATGAGTCTGGTTTTATTTTTGTTTTAAAAATAATTTTACTGGGGGCTCTTACAGCTCTTATCACAATCCACACATGCATCCATTGTGTCAAGCACATGTGTACATATGTTGCCATCATCATTTTCAAAACATTTTCTTTGACTTGAGCCCTTGGTATCAGTTCCTCATTTTTTCCCCTCTCTCTCCCACCCTCCCTCCTTCATAAACCCTTGATAATTTATAATTTTTGTGTGTGTCATACACCAACTGCTGTCTCCCTTCACCCACTTTGTGTTGTCCGTCCCTGGGAGGGAGTTATATGTCGATCATTATGATCAGTTTCCTCTTTATCCCCCCCACTTTCCCCTCCCCTCCTGGTATCTCTGTTCTCATTATTGGCCCTGAGGGGTTTATCTGTCCTGGATTCCCTGTGTTTCGAGCTCTTATCTGCACCAGTGTACCGTGCTCTGGTCTAGCCAGATTTGTAAGGTAGAATCCGGGTCATGATAGGGGGGGTTGGGGAAGCATTAAAGAACTAGAGGAAAGTTGTTTCCTCGGTGCTATACTGTGACCTGCTTGGCCTATAGAAGTGGAAACTGAGGCTTGAGGAGGCTGTGTGATCATCCCCTTCAACAGCAAACATTGTTCAGTCTCTGCAGCAGAGCTGGGCACTGTCCTAGGTGCGGGGGAAGGGGGGATGAAGCCGGTGTAGAGAGCCACTGCCCTGCCCAGGGGTCACAATCCCCTGAGGCAGAAAGACCCCTTAAACCAATGTGTCCAGCGCCACGAAAGGTCATGCCTGGAGACTACGGGGGTGCTGGCAGAGGTCAAGGAAGGAGTCTGGGGCATGTGGCATCGGCACATGGATGAACCTGGCCGGGGGCAGGCCCTGCAGGCTGAGGGGCCACCCCAAGATGCTTGGTCCTGCCGGGGTCCAGGCTGTCAGACACTGCTGGCAGGTGGGCTAGAGAAATCAGGACAGGACTCCCAGCCCGGCACCAGAGGCTGGCACTGCAGTGCCACCGTGCAGGGAAAACGAGTCAGAGCTGTGCCCCTCTGGGCCAGCCGCCCTGGCCCCTCCACGGCTGTTAGCCACATTTGAAGGAGGTTTCCGTCCCTTGTCCGAAGACACGGAAGACCAGCCCTTCCAGAGCTCCCTCTGGCCCCCGAAGTGTTGGGGGAGCCCAGAGGCCCTTGCAGATGGATCCTGGGCGAGCCTCCCACCCATGCCGCGGGGAGCGGCCGTCGGGGCGGTCGCAGCATGGCCTGGCTGGGGCCCAAGGTGGGAGGAGGAGGAGGAGGACGTCCCGTCCGTGGCCGCAGCCTGGAGGGAGCGAGGCGCGCCGGGGCTGCCCGGACAAGGAGCGCGCGGGGTGGCTCCTCCCTCCACCCTCCTGCCCCCCGTGGAGAAGCGGCCCATCCCGCTCGCCGCCGCCGCCCGAGGTCGGGCCCGGAGCCGCAGCCTGTTCCGGGGGGCGGACCCGGCGGTGGCGGCCCGGCTCCTGCCCCGACAGGTGCGTTCCGCGCAGGAATGCGAGCGCCTGACTCACCAGCGCCGCCTGCCTACCTGCCCGCCCGCCGCCCTTAAAGCAACCCGCCGCCGCCGCTCCCTGCCCGACACGCGGCTGCCAGCGAGCGCCCCGCAGCCAAGGTAGGAGCAGCCTCGCCAGAGCGGACCCCGGGGGAAGGGCGCAGTGCAGGAAGGCAGTCTGGAGCCCGGGGACCGGGAGCCCAGACCTGGGCGCCCAGGTGGCTGCTCGG